AGGTGTGTCCCCAAACGACGACCGAAACCGAAGACGATCCTTAAATCATTTTTCTTTTCTTTTTTTTTTTCTTTTTTTTTTTTTTTTTTTTTTTTTTTGCTCATTTTTATTTTCGTTTCGTTCTTGTTTACCTTATTTTTTTCTTTGGCTCTTTTTGTTGACGCGGTTTATTTAAATCTGTTTTCTCTTTTTTTGATGATGATGATGATTTAGGTAAAATTTTTCTTGATTTCTTTTTCGACAATTACATTCGGTATATAAAGTAAAAAATGATGGAAAATTTTCAGATCAATTTAATATTTTATTCTGTTCTTTTGTCGGATTTGGGTTTTTTTTTCAGTGAAAATTTTAAAATTTTGTTTTTTTTTTAAACATAATCAACATTATAAATCATCATCATGTTTCAAAAGGTTAGAGATTATTTTTTTCTCATCTTAATACTAATTTTTTTGATAAATCGATCAATTTCATTGATCAATATTGATCGATATTGATTAATTGTGTGTGTGTATTGAATCTTTTTCCTTCATTCATTTTAATGAAAAAAATGAAAATGATTAATTTTTGTTTTTATAAATAGATTGGTTTCATCTGTTTAGCATTGATTGCTAGTACAAATGCATATTCAAATTCTGGTTCCGGTTATTCGAATTATGGATCATCATCAGGTTCATTATCATCGTATGGTGGTTATGGTTCTGGTAATAATGGCGATGGTGGTGGTGGTGATCAAAAATCATATGGATCAGCATTAGGTGGTATGGAACAACCACAAGTTATCGAAGTATCACCAGATCAATTACCTGTTCAGGTACATTTTCGTACAGCATCAAGCCGATTGAATGTACAACAAAGTCATGCTGGTGGTGCTATGCCACAAGTAGAACATGCATCGTTCCAAGATGAACCACATCGTGTTGTACATGAAGTAGTTAAACCTGTAATTCAAGAAGTTCGTGAAATTATTCAACCATACCGTCGTGTAACACAGGAAATACGACCAGTTATTGAAGAAGTACATACTGTTGTACATAAAGGTGAAAATCGACGACCAGGTTCCGGTTTGCAGGGTAAAGGTGGCTATGGTAATGGTGGTGGTGGTCAATATGCTAAAAGTAAAGCCGCTAAAGCCTAAAACAAAGAATCTCTTCACAATGAAAATGACACTTGACGTATGACTTTTGAACTGTGAAAAAAAAATTCTTAATTCTGTTCAAATAGTTATGATTAACGATTGTGACATTTTTTTCTACTCGATTAATCTCTCTCTCTCATTCTTCTACTATCTCTATTTGGAATTTTTCTTCATAATTTTTCATTGAATGAAAATCGAAACTTTGATTCTTAATTTCATAATGATATGAATATTCTCTCTCATTTACTCATCATTTTCATATAACTCTCACATCATATATTCGATTCATTACATTTCATCATTCAGAAAATTTAAACATCCTTAAACATTCCAAATATGTGCCAGAATTTCGATTTTTTTTTAAATAATATACAAATTTAAATTTCGATTTTATTTTTGCATCATAATCATCATGTTTTTTTGTCATCATTCATTGTGTATTTTTTTTGTGTATGTGTTAACGAAATGTAAATGAAAATTTTGAAAAAATTCAAAGAACAATGAAACAAAGAATATCATATATGATGAATTTGTATAGGCAAACAAAAAAAAAATTTTGTTAAACTTTTTTTTTAAAAATGGAACGATAATGATAATAAAAATTTCAAACAAAAAAAAACTATTTATACTTCATGAATATTAAAAGGAAAAAAAATCCAATGAATGTTGAAATAGTAACAATGAGCCTTTTTAAAAAAAAAACGATTCTATTGTTAAATTAACGTAGTCATCATCATCATCATCGACATCAACATCCACATCATTTCAATTGATTCAAAAAGGTTTTCTTTTTTGTAAACCCATTATCATGATGATGATGTCATAAACTTTCTTCATCATCATCGGTAAGATTTTTTCCACTATGTTTTGGTTTGGTTTGGTTTGTTTCAACATTATTATTTTGGATTGAAAAAAATGGACAAGTTTTTTGTTTTGTTTTGCAGTATGTGATGAAATGAAAATGTATAGTATACTAAAATTAGATTGTTCCATCATTCACTATCTAAAAAGGTATATTATATTCTCACATATGATTCATTCATTCATTCTATTCATTTTATTATTTTATCATCATGATGATGATAGTGATTATATCTCTGTTTGTAAAGTATCTTTGTGTTTGATGTTTGGTAGAACGAAGAACTGTAATGGAAAAAAAAACAACAATCATTATACAATGATGATAAAAAAAAAATTTCATTTCAATTCAAATTAGAATCGAAAATGAAAGATAAATGAAAAAAAATGAGCTTCAATCAACAACAAAGGAAAAAGAAGTAGCAAAAAAAAGAAAAAGTTTTATCGTTCATAAATGATGTGATAACGAAGAAAAATCGTGGAGAAAAAAACTAACTAAACAAAACTATCTAAATGAATTTATGATTCGAAAATAGAAACTCGAAAAAGAAAGATTATTTTCTTTTTTGAATGAATGAAAAAATGGCGATAATAAAAAAAATCCCCTCATCATTTTCATCACTACCATCATGATCATCATCATCATGATCAATCAAGAAAAACAAACAATCGAAAACAATCGAAATTATTATATAGATAAACTAGGTTATTTTGAATTGAAAAATTTTCGGGTTTTTCATTTTGTTTGTTTGTTTGTTTGTTGATTGATAATCATTGATCATGATTGCGCAAACATTTGATGATGATGATGATGATAACTATCATCAATTGTATTTGCTGGTGTGAGGAATCGATAAATGATAATGATGATGATGATCATCATTCATTCATCACAAAACCAAACTGAATACAATTATCATCATCATCGTTTTTTTTCATGTCTAATTATGATTTTTCTGTTCCCCCTTCATATTCACAATTCACGATTATCACGAAAACCGATGATTTTTCTTTCTTTTTTTTTTGTTCGGAACGGGAAAACCACACTGTGAAAAACCGATTGAAAATTGAAAACAAAAATGGAAATCTATCTTGTATGAATAGACTTGAATGAAATGAAACGATAATAATAACTCGATCATGCATGTCAATAGTCTTTCCTTTCAATCTTTTTTTTTCTGGATTGAAAATTTTCATTTTTTCCCCTTATTTCTCTTTCTCTTTCTCACTTCAACTCTATGATTTTTATTCAAAATTTTTAAAAATTGATTTTTTTTCCATCACTTCTTTTCGTCAACTATCAATCTGTTTTGGCCAATTTTCGATCCAAACAAACACAATTTCATCATACACCCACACACATAATAAAAGCCAATATTAACAACAACAACAATCATCATCATCATCATTATCATCACCGATATAGGTGTCCTATAAATAGACACCTTTTTTTTGTAAATCATCAAACAAAACAAAATCTGTACCAAGTTATTTTTCTCTTCATTCATTCTTTCATTTTATTACCCTGTTTTCATCATTTTTTTCCCCTCTCAATAATAGTTGCATTATATTTTGTTTTAAATTCCACAGTTTGATTGCCATTTGTAACTTGTAATACCCTTTTTTTTTACAAATATTATTTTTTATTATGTTTTTTTTTGTCATTGTCATTCATTCATTCATGCTAAAAATGGATTATATTGGGATTATTGTTATTATTTTCAAACAATTTTCTCTCTTTCTATATAATCACAATTTGACAACAACAGAAAAGATCGAATATATCGGTCAATACATTATTTGTGTATTTTTTTCTTCCACCGATAGCGTTAATGATTTTATAAATAGTTTTTTTTTAAAAAAGATAATTTTTCTTCTTTCGATTATGATCGGATCAATTTTCAGATATTTTTATACATAATAATAATAGAAATGTTGATTGATCGATTGATTGATTTATTGATTGGTTGATTGATATGCATGAAAAGATTTTCTTTTTTTTCCATCTTTATCTGGATTGGATATGATTTAATGTTTTCTTTTTCCTCTTTGTCTTTATATCAACGAACGATTAGTAGCTCGGATAGCATCAATCAATTTAGTTGATTTTGTTTTTGTCCAAATTTTTTTAATTTAATCAAGATCACACACACATGTATGCCGGAGAGAAGATTATCTAATGCCTATGGATTTGAAAAAAAAATATTTATTTATACCAATGGAACTTACTTACTTTCATTCAAATTTATTTATTTATTTAGTTTTGATGTTGTTTATGGAACAAAACAAAACAAAAAAAAAAGTTGATTGATGAGATCACTGTTAATCCCATTCATTGTTATCTTTTATCCATAACAATGGCAATATGAAACTGAAAAAAATAGGGGAGCTAAAAAAGGAATTTTGTTTAAAATAAAGTTGTTTTTTTTAGAAAAAAAAGTAAATCTTCAATAGATTTTATCTACACAAAATTGGATGTGTGTGAAATAAAAAAGTGGGATTAAATAATAGTCAATTGTTGTTGACGAATTGGATTATTTGGACCATGATGGAAACATCAACTTATCATCTTATTCATCATCATCATCATCATCATCAATTATGTTTTGTTGGGTGTTTACATCATTTCTTATGTCCTATATTTGGTTATATTTTTTTAAAAAAAGCTTTAGGTGGATATATGGATTATTCGACAAAAAAGTTTTCACCGATCATCATTTTGTCCATCATCATCATCATCATTTTCTTTTGTTTTGTTTTGTTGTTGAATGAATTATGTACAGAAAATGTTTTATTTACCATTTTTTGTTCAACATCAAAAATCTATTTCAATCTTTATCATCATCATCAATATAATAAAGTTAATACAAGCTTATGATGAAATGACAACCATACAACCAAATGATGAACAATATTCAGTTGAATTATTAAATGATTCAATACGAATAAATTCAAATGTTTATCATAAATGGACACGTCCATTTTGGAATACTGGTAAAATTATCACTTTTTTTAGTTCCGTTTTGATAGTTTTTTCATTATTATTTTTTCCAAATAGGAAATTCGGTTAATATATCAGTAAATATGAAAATGGATCCAATTGCTAATTATAAAGATATTGAATCAGTATTGGAAATACAAACATTATATGAATTTCATTGGTTAGATATACGATTAAAATTTTCTTGTGAAAAAGCACAGGAAATTGTTGGTACACATTATCTAGCTGATATATGGAAACCAAATCTTCGTGTATCAAGAATCGATGATATCGATGTATTTGGTTCATCGTCATTGTCCAAGTTAACATTTTTACGTATTGGATGTGATGGTCAAGTACTCATAAGATATAGGTTTGTATTATTGTTTTTTTTTGAAATGAAACATTACGTTTTAATTATCATTTTTTTCTTTGCAAACAAAAAAGATCAAATTTAAATCTAATCTGTGTGATGAACTATCAAAGCTATCCATTTGATAATCAAACCTGTTCAATTTATCTAATCTCAAGCGATCTATCTGTTGAACATTTAAAACTTGAATGGAATGATTCACAGATAATTGAAGATGGTTTCAGAATAACCGGACATTCATTACAAGGATATTCAATTTCTGAACATACTGAACGTATACAAGGCGAAACATTTAGCATGTTAACTGTTGAATTAAAAGTTAAACGTCAATTCATTCATCATTTGCTTACATTATTTTTGCCCTCAATGTTGATTGTAGCAACATCATGGATTTCGTTCTGGATTGACATAACATCCATACCAAGTCGTACATCGATTGGTGTGACCACAATACTTGCTTTAGTAACCGTTTCAAAAGAAGCCAAACAAGATATTCCAAAAGTATCATATGTTAAAGCTATTGATCTTTGGTTTGCTGGCTGTATTTGTGAGTTTCTTGTTTGTATTTTAATGATTTTTTTTTGATAAACAATCGTTATAATGATGAACAAATTATTTACTTCCGTTTCAAGTATCGATATTTTGTACATTAATTGAATATGTATTCGTATGTTTTGTACATCGTGAAGAGCGAAACAAATTAAAATTTCGTAAACAAATCAAACGTAGTTTAAGTGTTGCATCGTTTCTATTGCCGATGGATAATAATAATAATAATAATAACGATAAACAGGATCGACTAAACATTCATCAACAACCACATCAATATCAACGACAAAATAGTGGTCAATTTGCTAATGGCAATAATTTACTTACACCAACAATCAAAACAGTTAAGTATATATTTCATTTGAAAAGGATTGATTTCAATTAACACTTAATTTTTTTCCTTTCCGTTTTATTTGTTGCTGTTGTTGTTTCAGGATCAATTAAATCAACATCGTGTGAATTTAGCACGTCGATTTAGTTATGCTTGTCCAAGTACATTTATTCAACAACAACAACAAATACCAAATAATCAACAAAATAGACAATTTGAACAACAAATGAACAATGAATCATCGAGAGCAGCAACACCATCACAAATCAATAATTTCGATTCATTATCAATGATTTTAAAAGATACACCACAAGAAGTGGCCGAATCAATTGATCGTAAATGTCGTCTTTTATTTCCATTAGCATTTGCATTATTCAATCTTATATATTGGTCTTATTTATGATTGACAAAAACAAAACAAAAAAAAATCGTTCCAAAAAAAACATTGAATATTCATTTTTTTCGTAATTTTTCATAAGTACACTGGGAATAACATAAATAAATAAATAAAAACATTTCAAAAATCACCAAATATCGAAATATAGATTTAGTTTTCGGTTGTTTTAACTATATTTGGATAATGGAAATATATGGTAAAAAAAATTACAATTTGATACGATGATCATGTCATTCGAAAGGAAAACTCATCGATTTAATCATCATCATCATCATAAGGTTTTTTTTGTAACAAATACAGTATTGAAAAAAATTGCAAATGTTTTTATTCATCAAATAATTTTGAATAATGTTGATGATGATGATTGCTACTGATATACGTAGCGTAAAATTTTTCGATTGTAAAAATTGATTTGTTATTTCATCATTCATAATCATTAAATTACAATCGGAAATTTAATATATTTTAATGATAAAAAATGTTTAGCAATGGAATTTGGAGAGTGGAAAAAAATCCTTTATCTTCTTTGATCAATTATAATGATAATATTTTCATAGTAATCTCTATGGAATTAGTATAACATGGCAAACATAATATTGATCAATATGGGTGATAATTTTTTGTTTCTGTTTTGGGCCAGCTACATATAATAATCATATACAAACCGTGATGATGACACAGACGAAAAAAAAAATTGAATATTTTAGTTTCCTCGAATAAAAAAAGCACGAAAAAAAACTCGTGTCACCAGAAACGAAATAGTAAATCTTGTATTTCCACATTTGTTTTTTTTTTCATTTCATCGTTTCACGTTTTTTTTTCTTAAAATTTGATTTTCATCTTCTTACCTGGACTGGATTTTTTTCTGTTACTAAGATTAAAACGTTTCTCCCCCTACTTGTATATTTAGTTTTATGTGATTTGCCATTCGTTTTTTTTCTTCTATCATCATCGTCATCGTTGTCGTCATCAAATAATCAAATAAAGTTATATAATAAATAAACATGGAATGCCAAGTCATACCTGGAGCTAGAATTGCCGAAAAATTCCTGTAAGTTTACTTGAGTTGATTTATCATTATTTATTAATTTTCATTTTAAACACCAACAAAAATAGTGAAGAATTAACCAAACAGATTACCGAATTTGATAGTCAAGTAAAATTGGTTAGCTTTTTGGCCAATAATGATCCATCTGCCGAACAATATGCTGAAGTGACTAAAAAAAGTTGTGCACGATCCGGTATTGTGTTTGAATTACGTAAAATTGGTCGAGAAGAATTAGAGGATGCTGTTATTGCAGCAAATAATGATGATACAATTCATGGTATACTTGTCTATTATCCAGTATTTGGTGGTGGACATGATCAATATATACAGAATTGTGTTAATCCATATAAAGATGTTGAAGGATTATGTCATCTATATCGATTCAATATGTATCGTAATATTCGTCACATTCAAGGACGTAGAGATTTAAAATCAATTATTCCTTGTACACCATTAGCCGTTATTAAAGTATGTATCATGATTAGTTTGTTTATTTTGGGTTCAATATTTCTAATCATCAAATGATCAATTTGATTTTAGGTTTTAGAACATTGCAATGTATATGATAATGATGTACCATATGGTAATCAACTTCGTGGAAAAACGATAACCATTATCAATAGAAGTGAAGTTGTTGGACGACCTTTGGCCGCATTATTAGCAAATGATGGTGCCAAAGTTTTTTCTGTTGATATTAATGATATACTTTTATTCTATCGTGGTCCAGATCTTGAATTATCTAAATATAAAGTTCAAGATACGGATAAAAAATTGGAAGATGTTTTGCCCATATCTGATATTATAATTACGGGTGTACCAAGCTCTAATTATCGTGTTCCTATTGATTTGCTCAAAGGTTTGTTTAAGTAATACAAAAAAAAAGAAATGATTTAATTTGATATTTTCAATCAGACGGTGTAATAGCTGTTAATTTTGCATGTGCTAAAAATTTTGACGATGAAATTAAAACAAAAGCATCAATTTTCGTACCAACAATCGGAAAGGTGACAACCACAATGTTACAACGGAACTTGCTTCGATTATATAAATATGGAACATATGGTCGATATAGCAATGGAACAATGTAAATCTCAATAAACAACAATTAGCCATAATTATCATTTTCAATTAATTTTTGTTTTCGTTTTCCGAATGAGCAAAAAAACAAAGTTAAAAAATAAATAAAACATTTCAATTTTCAAATTCTCAATTGGATTTTTTTCTGTATTCGAACGCCATGTTTTGGTCATTGAATTTATGAATGACTAATCATATTGACGCATGTTGGATTCTTTAAATCACATGTGATAGAATAAAAAGAATTTTGAATTTTTGTTTTTGGTATTAGGCCAATTTAATTTTCACTATGATTACTGTCGGATATTGTTGTAATTTTATTGATAATATTAAAACAACATTGAATGAATACAATGAATTTGGGTATGTTGAAGAATTCTGAATTTTCAAATTTTTATTAAATTGTTTTCCAAAAAAAAAATACCAGTTATGATTATATTCTTGCCCCATTAATTCATCCTAAATGTTCAGAATTCATTCCATTCAGCGAAGTATTTCTCGCTGGCAAAGGTACGCTGGAATCGAGATAATTTTTTGTCAATTGATTTTTTCCATTCTTTTCTGTTCGAATAAATAGATCGCAACAAAGTTGTTATGAATATACCGAAACGGAATTTTCGATTTCGACAAAATGTTCGCTTGTTAGAAAAGGAATTAAATTTTGCCGGACATGCTGGAATTCAGAATATTATTTTAGAATGTCCAGATGATCATGAATCTATCGAAAATATGGCCATGATTATCCATAGAAAATTGAATCCACAATCAGAAACGAATGATCATCATAATTTAGCTATAGCAATCAAATTGTCAATGGCAAATAACAAAAATCAAGCACAAGAATTACGAAAAGATCCCCAAGACATTGATGTTGATTATGAATGGAAAAAATGGAACCATCTAAGAAAAATAATGCAATTCCATCCAAACATATCGATCGCATTAGAAGTGAATGGCGAATTGTCTGATTCCGATAGATTGAATAGATGGCTTGGTGAACCTATTAAATTCATCATATTGCCTACATCTGTATTCATAACGAATTCATCGAAATTTCCGGTTTTAAGCAAAGTTATGCAATCATTCATGGGACAAGTGAATTTTAAAATGGCTGGGAATTTTTCCATCATTATCAAAGGGAATAATCTACATGGTCACATCAAACATTATTGTCAATATATTGCACACTTGCAAAAGACTGAATTGTTTTCAGATAGGTTGCAAAAATTTTGCCAATATTACGAAGATTTATTACAATATCCTTTGCAGGTATTCAATGATTATTATAGCACTGTTTTCTGCTAATTCTAAACATTATTTATTTTAGCCACTGAAAGATGATCTAGATTCATCTGTTTATGAAGTATTTGAAACCGATCTTATCAAATATCAACAATATGAAAAGGCTATTCGCAAAGCTTTGGCAGACATTCAAAAAGATGTCATGTTAGTTTGAGATTATATATTTTTTTTATGAAATCAAATTTAATTTATTATTATTTCCAGAATTGCAATGGTTGTTGGTGCTGGTCGTGGTCCTCTAGTAGATAAAGCACTTAAAGCAGCCCATGCAGTGGGTAAATTCATACGAATCTATGCTGTTGAAAAAAATACAAATGCCGTGATTACATTAGAAATGCTAAGAGAGTTGAAATGGGGTGGCTATTTAGGATTACCTCATGGTTATGTTGAAATTGTTAGTTGTGATATGCGTTGTTGGTCGGCACCAGAACGAGCTGATATTATTATTTCCGAATTACTTGGATCTTTTGGTGACAATGAATTGAGTCCCGAATGTTTAGATGGTGTATGGAATTATGTTAATCAAGATGCGATTTGTATACCTCAATCTTATAGTTCATATTTATGTCCAGTTCAATCACAACGATTATATGCACAGCTATCGTTGGATAAACGATCCAATATTAATGCTTATGAATATGCTTATGTTGTTCATATTCGAAACGCATATTTTATCGATAAACCAAAAAAAGTGTTTACATTTGAACATCGTCGTGGTGATCTTCATAGACCGCCATCAACACGTGATAATAATCGAAAAAAACGTCTAACATTTCGTTCAAAAATACCAGCCATTTGTCATGGTTTTGTAGGTTATTTTGATTGCTGTCTATATGGTGATATTCGTTTATCAATAGTGCCATCAACACAAAATTCGGACATGTATAGTTGGTTTCCGATCTATTTTCCTGTACAGACACCATTTGATATCAATGATGGCCATGATGATAATGATCAAATTGAAATTCAAATTACACGAAATGTGAATGACTTGCATGTTTGGTATGAATGGACAATTTCGCGTCCAATACAATCACGTATACATAACCTGAATGGAAAACATTATTCTATTAGTTTACATTGAAGAAAAAAAACATTCATGTCAATCATGTTCAAATAACAGACAGATCTAGTTCAAACATTTGAATATTCATTATAATAATAATGAGAATTTCCATAAATTTTTCATCATCAACAAAAAAAAATTTATAATCAATAAAATTTCATTTGAATCATATCGACCAATAACCTACATATATAATTATCATGATAAAATATCTCATTATTGGCGAAAATCTTCTGGATAAAAAAAAATAGTTTGTCCTTCAAAACAAACAACAACAATAAAATGATGATGATGATTGATTGATTTTGGCTTCCTGCATGCTATTTTTCTATCGTTTTTTGTTGTTGTTGTTGTTTACATTTGATTGTCGCCACTCGACCATTTGTTATAACAATACAAATTTCAATCTGATTTGATTGATCAATCGATTGATGATTCAAATTTCAAATACAAAAATAACCTTATAAATATATCTCAATGATTTTCCACATCTTTGACATAGATTCAAATCGATGATCTGGTTGGTTCCCCCCACCACACTCCTCATTTTTATGTAAATCATCAAATAATCATAATGATTGTCTTTCGTGTGTATCGAGTATGCATGTATCTGTCTATCTTTTTTGTCTGTTTATAAAGTTGTTGGTTCGTCTTTCATCGATAATAATAATAATAATGATGATGATGATGATGGTAATGATTCCTTTTTTTTCATTGACATTGTCATTCTATCTAAAAATATCTAAGGTAGGATTCTAATGTTCAGTTTATTATATACACACATAGAATTAGCTAGATATTCGGGCCTGGCCATCTTTTCACTTTTTTTTTGCATTTTCATTTTCATAATCATCAAACGGGTATCTGTATGTTTGCGTGTGGGTGTGGGTGTTGTTTTTTTTTACCTATGTTAAATTAATGTTTTACCTTTAAATGAATGTTCGTGTTTGTGTGCGAAAAATAGCGAACGAGAGAGAGAGAGAGAGAAAGCGAGAGTATGTGCACCACCTGAATTTTGTTTTTTTGTTCCCGACATTTCTATACTTCTACTCGATGGGGAAAGAAAAAATTTTTTTAGAGATATTTTTTTCAATATTGATTTTGAAGAATGTTGTTTTTTTTTTTTGTTTTGTTCTAACCTATGGATGATATTTGAGATTGGATAGTTTTCAAGAATTTTTTTTCTGCTTTTGGTTTGGTTTAGTTTGCTCTAATTGATTATCTAATGATTATCTCAACACAAAATAAAACAAAACTGGAATTTTTATTCGACCGATCACATCACTGTCACTTTTTCCTTCCTCCTAATCCCCCCACCAATTAAATCAATGTTTTCTCTTCATTTTTTTTCAAAATACACCCATGAGCATCATCATTATCATCGTTGTCGTCATCGTCGTCGTCGTGGTAGTTGACTATGATCACCTATAAAATTGTGACTATACACAAATGTTGTTGGTTTTTTCTTTTTCAAATTATTTATTTATTTGTGTAAATTAATTTCAACAATGAATGCGATGAAAAAAAATCTTCATCATCATAATCAGGAACTGTGAATTCAATGAATAAAAATTGGCCAATTTCGCTGTAATTGTTGTTGTTAAGAAATTCCTGTTGTTGAAATGGATTTATGTTTGTATTTTTTAAAATTCTCATTCAAACAAAATCATTGATCATCGTTTCCGAATGATAATCATTGAAACATGAAGAGCAACAAGGACAAAGATGATGGCTATTTTTTTTTACTTTTCATTATAAATTTTGAATAATCATTGATTATTTCTCATTGACTTTTTCTATTTAATTCAATCAATGTTAAGATTTTATTTTTGTTGTTGTTGTTGTTTTGCCATTATCCATAAAATTGTTGCTGTTTTTTTTTGTTGTCAAAATCTTGTCATCATTATTTCTATTGTTATGACGATTATAATGTTGACAACGATGATGTTGATATATTTATCTTTCTGTGTACAATAACTCTGTCTGTAAATTTTGATTGGTTTTATTTTTCCCCTACACTTTACAGCATAAACAAATATCATCAACCCAGAGAAAATACATCCATCCATATATGATCCATCTATATACGTTGATTATAAAAATCAATCATTGAATTACAACTGATGATTTTATAAAAATATTTTTATTTATAACTTAAAACTTTAAAAAAAACGTTATCATCTAATATTTGTACATACAAGTGGTCTTATCATCTATTTATCATCATCAAATTAATCATTTAATTTTCTAATTAAATTGGTTTTGATGTTTTTTTTTCTTCATTGGAATCATTATTTTGAAATTTTTTTTTTTGACATTTTCCATCTCCTCATCATTATCATCGATAGCATCGATAAAACTTTTTCTTGGGTCTTCTCTATAAAGTGATTTCTAATTAATCAATCAATTCAATTTTTTTTCATGGATAATCACATGATTGTCATATATAATGTGAATTAAGTAATTAATAGACTTCTTAATCGATTTATCTGCTTTTGATTTATCTTATATTTACGATTATTGCTCGCATCAACAAAAAAATCATTTGGGTATATATCGATGACAATTATTAGCTTTTTTAAAAAACAAACAATTCAAAAATCAATCGATCAACATGATTGTTTTTTTTTAAATAATTTCATAAATATTTTCTCTCTTAAATTATTGAATTGATTGATTAAATAATTTGGGTCAACATTATTATCAATGCATAAATCAATTGATTGATTGATTGATTGAGCATCGAATTCATTTGAACCAAAAAAAAATCCTGTTCTAAATCAATACAACTTAAGTGAAAATTGAAATTGCCGATGAATAGCAACAAAAAATAAATCAACTAATCCAATCAAACATAATGTCCATCTGTCATTGTGATAAAAGTGGTGAATTAATTTGGACGACAAATAATTGTTATCTATTTAAATATCGTAATAAAATTGATTCTAAACCAGTACAATTAAATGTAACCAATACAGGTATACATTTTGTTCGATCTCCATCCGAAAATTGTTCGGATTCGCCATCAAATTCTTCCCCATCATCATCATCATCGAAATTTAATCAATGTTATCATTTTGATCATATTGCTCGATGTACATTGATAAGCAACAGCAACAAAAATGATAAAAATGATGATGATGATGATGATCATAATAATAATATCGGTAGTCAGGGTCAATTACAACAACGTGAACAAAAAAAACAACGATCATTGTTTTTAATATCTTGTTGTAGATCATCATCAAAATCAAAATCAAAATCAAATTATAATCTACAATTAGGTGATAATCAAGTTGTACTTGAATTTCTGGTCATTCAACGAAAATCTGTCAATAGTGATAAAATTCAACGTAAACAAGTATTATTATTAATAGCTAAAAGTAATCATTATGAAGAAAATTTAGCTGAAGCCTGTTTAATAATTGATAAATTGGATCCATTTATGAATAAAGGTTAGAGATCGACTAATTTTTTGGGCAATTTAATTTAAATGATATTTATAAGATATAATTATTAATTATAATTATTTATAATAAACATACATAGGTCATGCAATCAAATTTTCGCAAACGAAACCTTTATTAATTTTATTGAATCCTGCTAGTGGTAAAGGAAAATCGGTCAGACTGTTCAATGATAATGTTCGTCAATTGTTAGATGATTGTAATGTTAAATATCATGTTCTAACGACTAAATATGCTAATCATGCATTGGATTTTATACAACATCATAATGATCTTGTTGGAACATATTGTGCAATTGTAACACTTTCTGGTGATGGTTTATTATTCGAAGTTCTTAATGGATTTGTTCATTCTTTGGAACTTTCAACAATAATGCCAAAAAAAGTTCCTGTTCCAATCAGTGAGTATATTATGAAATGTATTTCAATGATTAAAATTTAATATATGTGTACATTTATCAGGCATCATTCCCGGTGGTTCCGGTAACGGTCTAGCCCGTTCACTAAATAACATTTTTTCAAATGGTGGCCGAACAATGTTCAATCAACTTATTGAATCTACATTACATACGATCAAAGGTCAACCAACGCCAATGGATTTGGTTCGAATTACAACAACAAATAAAGTATATTATTCATTTTTATCATTTGGTTGGGGGTTGATGGCCGATATCGATATCGAATCCGAACGTTTAAGGTTTCTTGGTGAACCTAGGTTCACAATATGGTCGATATATAGAAGTTTAGCATTAAAACGTTATCGTGGCCGATTAAGCTATCTACGAAAGGATTCCGTTTGTCAAGAGATTCGTCCAATCAATCAACCAGTTCCAGATGAATGGATAACAATTAATGATGAATTTATAATTGTTTATGGTGCCTATCAACAATATCTAAATTCAACGGTAAAATTTGCACCCGATTCACAATTAGATGATGAAACAATATATTTATCATATATTAGTGGTTCTGTTTCCACTTGTCAAGCGATTGAATTTTTACTTGCTCTTGAAGATGGTTCACATACCAAATTGCCTTTTGTACATTTTATTCCATGTAAAGCATTCCGTTTGACTCCTGAAGGCCATAATGATATAATGACTATCGATGGTGAAAAAATACCGTGTTCAACTATACAGGGTGAAATTATGCCTAAATTAGTGTCAATATTATTTCGTAATAATAATAATACAACATAACAATCATTTAATGATATTATTATTATTATTATTATTATTTTTATTAAATTATCTCATTTAATTTGATAATTATATAATCATTTTCATTTTGATTGCCAATTATCGAACACATACATAGATAGATTATGTGTTCAAAAAAAAAATAATCTAATATTGAATTGCATGTAATTCCATATCAATAATGAAAAACAACAACAATCATTGTATATCTAAATTATATTGTCTAATATTTCAGAATTCGTTCTGGAAAAATCCTTGAACGATAATAATTGTATTGTATAATCTTTTTTTTTCAGAAAGCTATTAAAAAATAAAAATAATGATGATGACCATATTGAATGAAATCTGATTAGTTTGTTGTTTGTTGTTTCATAAAAGAAAAAAATAACAATTTCATTGTAAACATTAAGGTGTGAATGAAGTTTTTTTTTGGTTAAAAAAAATTGTCAATATTTGTTAAAGAATGAAAAGTAAACAAATGCGATAAATTCGTCGGTAATTTCATCCGAAAACAATCGAATGAAAATGGCCACTTTATTGCTGGTAAAATCATTTGAAATCGGTTATTATAGTTTGGAATACGAAAATGTTCGTTTCATCATGGTATACGGTAATATTGTTCATCAAATTGAACTTGATTATTTCCATACATACGGTCCAAATATCACAGGATCGACAAAATAATAACGATAAAAGCATCATATTACGTCGAAGACAAAGTAATGATACACATTTTTTACCATCATTATCATCATCGTCATCAACAACAGCATTGATCGCTGGTAGCCATACTGTACCAATAAATCGCATTGATTTGATTTTATTGATTTCCAATCAAAATGAATTACCCATTTCTTATGAACTAATTAAACCGACATTGGAATTAGCGATACAAGATGCAGCAAAACGATATCCACATTTACAATTCTATCTAAATCCAGTTTATGATGAAAATCCTTGTCAAAGTAATGTACTTGGTGCATTGGCTGCTGAAAAATATTATACTGGACATGTAAGCGCATTTCTTGGTCCAATTTGTTCATTAGCATTAGATCCCGTTTCACGTATGGCTTCCTATTGGAATGTACCAGTATTCACTAGCGGTGGTATTAGCTATCAATTTTCGAATAAACAAATCTTCACCACTCTCACAAGAGTTTCATTTTCATTGGGTAAATTTTTTTTCTTGTAATTTGCGTTTTGTAATAATATTTAATTGTTTGTTTTTCTATCTATCTTATCTCGAAGATCGGCTATCACATTTTTTCCTAAAAATATTTCAAGTTTATGGATGGCAACATATTGCTTTGATTGTCGATGAAACTGATGCAGCCAATAAATTGATTAAAACTAGTATGCAATCAATTTTCAAAGAAACCGAATTTGGTTATGAAATTTTTCTGGAAACAATTACATATGAAATCAAATCATCAAATACAACAATCGATTATCAGAAAATGTTACGTCAAGCAAGTCGAAATGCTCGAGGTAAATTGAATATTTTAAAAAACAAATTTAAAAAAAATTACCTTTTTTCCTTTCTTATTATAATTTCAGTAATCGTTCTGATTACTAATGGTGAGCACAGCCGAAACTTATTACTTGAGGCACATACACTTGGCATGGGTAATGGTGAATACGTATTCTTTGGAATTGAATTGCTGAAAGATAATAAAGGATCGGGTGATTTTTCATGGTACAGAGCTGGTGATCGACGAAATAAGATTGCTAAAGAAATGTTTGAATCATTGATGAGAGTAGCGATTCGAGTACCAACTTCACCAGAATATTCTAGTTTTGTTCATAAAGTTACAAAACTATCATCCGAAGAATTTGGTCGTTTGACAAGTCATGAAGAAGTAAATCCAATTGTTGCCGCTTTTTATGATTGTGTTTCCATGTATGCTTATGCATTTAATCAAACATTGGCAAAAGGTGGTGATATAACTGATGGACGATCATTAATACGAGGAGCATTATGGGATCATACAATTCCAGATTGTAATTAACTTTAAAAATTTTCTTCGCATATCTTTAATTATATATTTTTTCCAATAATAATCAACAGCATTAACCGGAGATATTGTAGTAAATGACAATGGTGATCGTGAAGTTGATTATACATTAAATGATTTAGATCCAGAAACTGGAACGATGAGACCTGTGGCCACATATTATGGAGCTAGACGTCAATTTGAAAAACTTCCTGGTGTTGAGATTCATTGGCCAAGTGAATTCGGTCCACCACCAGATGTACCTGATTGTGGTTTTACTGGTGATGCACCGCATTGTATCAAACATGAAGGGATGCCACTATGGGCAGCAATTTTGACCACATTTCTTGTGGTTATTACAGTGACATTAATAATATCGTTTTTCTCCTATAAAAAAATCAAAATGGAACAAGATCTGAATGATAATTGGTGGCGAGTCGCATATGAAGATATAATATTTCCAAGTCAGGCAAAATCCGGAGCCAAATCTGCATTAAGTTTAGTTTCTGAAACGGATGGTTATCAATCTGGTAAAGCTTCATCATTACGAATCGGTTCAATTGGACATTCATTGATTAGTGCAGCCGGTGAATTGGACACAGTTCATGTTGGAGTTTACAAAGGACTTAAAGTTGCATTCAAACCATTGCAGATTAAAAAAATGATTATCAGTCGTCAAATGTTGGTCGAAATCAAACAGGTAAATTCATCATGTTATTTTGTATTATTATTTTATTCAAAATTTTTTAAAAATTTTAAGATGCGTGATCTTACACATGAAAACCTTACCCGATTTATTGGACTTTGTCCGGATGAACCAAATTATGGAGTCATTAATGAACTTATGATTCGAGGTAGTTTGCGTGATTTATTGGAAACGGAAAAAATACAAATCGATTGGGCATTTAAATATTCAATGATGACTGATGTTGTTGAAGGAATGTTATTCTTGCAGAATAGTTTACTCGAATATCATGGCCATTTAAAATCGACAAATTGTGTAGTCGATGGTCGTTTCATGGTCAAAATTACAGATTATGGCCTTCGTACATTGCATGCTCAGGTGACTCGTGAACGAGATCTTATTCCAAAAGCCCTTTTTTGGACTGCTCCGGAACATTTACGTTCAAAAGATCCATTGAATTCGGGCTCGAAAAAAGGCGATGTTTATGCATTTGCGATTATATTGCAGGAAATCATAACTCGATCACCACCATTTGAATCACTGGAACGATTAGGACGAAAGAAAATTACTTATCAACCAGATGAAATACTTGATAGAGTTCGAATGGGTACTGTACCACCGTTTCGACCTGAAGTGGCTCCAGATGAAGCATCAAAAGAATTACTTACGTTAATGCAAGAATGTTGGGATGAATATCCAAACAATCGACCGGATTTTGCCGTTATCAAACACAAGTTACGTCGTATTACAAAAGGAATTTCATCGAAAAATTTTCTTGATAATCTACTAAATCGTATGGAACAATATTCACAGAATCTTGAACGAATTGTCGAAGAAAAAACTCAAACAGTTATTGAAGAGAAACAAAAAACTGAAGAGCTACTTTATCAATTATTACCTCGATTCATTGCCGAAGAATTGAAAAAAGGATCACATGTAAAACCTGAATCATTCGAATCGGTCACCATATTTTTTTCCGATATTGTTGGTTTTACAATGCTATCGGCCGAATCAACACCATTACAAGTGGTCGACCTATTAAATGATCTATACACCTGTTTTGATGCAATTATCGATATACATGATGTATATAAAGTGGAAACTATCGGCGATGCTTATATGGTAGCTTCGGGTCTTCCAATTCGTAATGGTAATGATCATGCCAAAGAGATAGCATTATTGGCATTGAATCTGAAAAAAGCTGTATCCGGATTTAAAATACGACATTTACCTAAGAAACGTTTGCAGATTAGAGTTGGTATTCATAGCGGTCCTTGTGTTGCCGGTGTAGTCGGATTAAAGATGCCTAAATATTGCCTTTTTGGTGATACAGTCAATACAGCATCTAGGATGGAAACTCATGGTAAAACAATGCATAGAGTTATTTGAATTATTATTAAATTAATTTGTCAATCTTTAGGTGAACCACAAAGAATTCATATTTCAGAAAGTACGAAAAAATTATTGGATACATTTGGTACTTTTACTATTTTGCCCAGAGGTGAAGTAGAAGTCAAGGTAATACATCATTTTGAATGTGAATAAATTATAATAATTTTTACCTTTAATTTCAATGTTTTTTTTTGTTTGAAAAAAACAAGGGAAAAGGTGTAATGGTTACCTATTGGCTTGAAGGTGGTCGTCGTGGTTTTAGTACACAGCAAACATCATCATTTGGAAATCAATCATCGTTCAATGAACTTGAAAAAGATATATCATTACAAGATGAATTTCGACAATCATTAAACAAACATAATACTGAATATTCATCATTAAATAATAATAATACAGCAACTAAAGAATCAATAGCTAATATTGAATAATCGTTTCAAATGAATAATTCAATTCTACATTTACATTTACTGATTCAATTCATAGTATCATTTTATACATATAAACATTAGTATTTGAATAATTTAGCCAGTAGCACAATTATATGAAATTGATAATTATGATTTAGAAAATTGAATTTCAATATCAAGATTTCTTTTTTTTTCGTTTGAAATTGTTTTATTGTTGTTGTTTTGTTTAAATTTTATTTTGTTTTCAAAATTATATTGCATTGATTGATTGATTAAAAAATATTTATCTCGAATACAAAATAAAAACACGAAGGAATTTTTGTTTTGAAGAAAAAAATCTGTTTCCATTGAATTTCGCATTTTATTTCTGGAAAATTTAATTAATTAATTAAATTTTTTTGTTCTTACCTTGATAAAATGGTTAATTGGTTGATAAGAAAATTTGCATCAAAAAGATGACAAAATCTGATAATTTTGATAATGAGTAATGTGTGTGAGAGAGAGAGAGCTTAAAAAACCCTGCCACAATTATCCCCAAAAGTATTATCTTTATTGATCATCTTAAAACATCTTAACCTTGAATAATTTGATGAAGAATATGATTAATGAAATATGCGCGCGCACTAATTTATGTATAATTGTTTTAAAAAAATGAAAGAATCCTGTTTGATATGATAATGATAATGATTAGAATCGAAAGAGGGTTGTTCGATCACTTTTGATTTCAATTTTTTTTTTCTGATGAACATCCTTTTTCAGAGAATCACAGTCACAATCAAAGATTCAAGAAACAAAAAAAAACACGTTTTTTCAATAATTTCGGATAATTTCTTTCTGCCGGTTATCGAATTGATAATGATGAAATCATTTATTTTTCGATCAATTTTTTTATTCATATTATTGTTATCATTGTCAATATTATCATGTAATTCACAACACATTTTTCAATTTACACAAAAATTTCCATCAATTCAACGAAGTCGATCGACGTTTGTAAACTTCGTAAATCAACATCGTACACCGAAATTATTGCGATTCAATAATGATGAACGACGATCAAATACCATTAGTTCTCGGATAGATTCATTATTATCGCCTCGAAAAAAATGCGAAATTGGTACATGTCAATTTTATTACAATTGTGCAAGAAAAACATCATCACCATCAAAATTCTGTGAGATGAATAATGGTTTTTCCGGTGTTTGTTGTCATGATAATGGTAAGCTTATAATTATCATATTTTTTCAAAATCAATTATTCAATTATACAAAAAAAAGTTTCGCATTTTGGCATAGGTATTCCAGAAGTTCGACGATTAACGACAACTTCGAATTCAATTAAACCAAAAGAAACTACAAAATTATTAACTCAACCAACTGTTAATTTAGCCAATTTTGAATCGAAAGAAGCTCGTCAAACTATACAGGATCTTGTATCGCTTGAAAATGAATTGCGACGAAATGATCTTGAACCGAAAAGTGGTACACAAGAATTTTCTCATCAAAATTTTTTCGGTGGTAATCAATTATCATTGAAAGAAATGAATGATGCTACACAGGCATTAGAAATGTTTATCAGCTTTGTTAAAAGGTTAGCTATTACAAATTCCGATCGAAAAAAGACCAATTTTATTCCTTTTCTTTCCCTTACAGCCAAAACTTGTCTATCGACGATATTCAGTCTAGTAACCTGAATATTCAAGACATTTCTTCATTGGCAGGTCTTTGTGAACCGAATCCGGTTTGTCAAAACATTCGATACCGAAATCCTGACGGCACTTGCAATAATCTTATCTATACAAATCAAGGAAAAGCTGTCAGTACTTTTACTCGATTGTTATCACCTGATTATGGCGATCGTATCAATGAGCCAAGACGTGCAATGGATGGAAGTGAATTGCCAAATGCACGACAAATTTCAATGCATATTTCACCGGAATCACAAATTGAAAATGATTTCTATTCAACAATGTTGATGCAATTCGGTCAATTTATTGATCATGACATCAGTCGAACAGCCATTACTCGAAGTAAGTATTGAACACTAGAAATTGAACAGAGTAAGTAAAAGTTTTCTTTGAATAGCTCATGATGACAAACGTATAAGTTGTTGTGATGAAAAAGTTCGTCAAAATCAAAAACTTTTACATCCAGCCTGTTTCGTCATTCCAGTTCCTTTGGATGATTTTTTTCTTCGAGCTGAATCACAGACTTGTATCAATTTTGTACGATCAGCACCAGCTGTCAATCCTAAATGTAGATTTGGACCACGAGAACAGCTAAATCAAATATCATCATATATTGATGGTGATCACATTTATGGACCATCATTGCAGCAAGAATCTCGACTTCGTCAATTTCAAGGTGGATTAATGAAAGTAACAATGTTAAATCAACGACAATTTCCACCCACCACTTCGAATCGAAATGAAGGAAATTGTCAAATTCCACGTACATCTAACATGAGTTGTTTTTTGGCTGGTGATATTCGTGCAAACGAAGTCGTTGATCTTGTTGTTTTGCATACAGTATTCCTTCGTGAACATAATCGAATTGCAACCATATTACAAAATATGCATCAAAATTGGAATGATGAAACTTTGTTTCAAGAAACAAAACGAATCATTATAGCCGAATTACAGCACATTATCTATAATGAAATGTTGCCACTAATTCTCGGACCAAAAACCATTGAACATTTTGGATTAAAAATTCGTGATGGTTATAGTGATTCCTATGATCAGGCTGTAGATGCTACAATTTTAAATGAATTCAGTACAGCAGCATATAGGTTACATTCATTAGTGAATGGTATATTGAATCTAAATTCACCGGAAAATGAGATTATTGCTCAAATTTCATTGAGAGATGTATTTGCTAATCCATCTTTATTATATCAACCTGGTGTATATGATATGCGAATAGCCGGTCTAATTGGACAAGGCATGAAAAATTGTAAGTTTCATGCAATGCAACAAATGAGATTATCTGTTTTATTTATTTATCTGTTTGTTTTTAGTTGATAATTTTTTCACACGAGATGTGACCAATCATTTGTTTCAAGCACCGGGCAAAAGATTTGGACTTGATCTAGTTGCATTGAATATTCAACGTGGTCGTGATCATGGTATTCAAAGTTATGTTAAATATCGTGAACTTTGTGGTCTTTCAAAAGTGGAATCGTTTGCTGATCTTCGTAACGTGTTATCAAATCCAACCGTAGCCGATGTTCTTAGCCATTTATACAAACGAGTAGAAGATGTTGATTTATTCATTGCCGGAACATCTGAACAGATTTTACCGGGTGCTGTTGTTGGTCCAACGTTTGCTTGTATTATCGGTGAACAATTTCGACGTACCAAAGAAGGTGATCGATTCTGGTATGAAAATGGTGGCATGGAAACATCATTCACGCCAGGACAATTGGCTGAAATTAAAAAGATTTCTTTGGCAAAAATTCTTTGCGATAATAGTGATGTCGGTATTATGCAACGATTCGCATTGTTAATACCGTCGGTCAGGTAGGTCAATCGAATATTGAGTTAATCTGTTTTGATTTAGTTACTAATTTAACATTCCGTTCGACTAGCAATCCGAAAATACGATGCGATCAATTACCATCGATTAATCTGAATGAATGGATTTGAATTTATTATGTTTTTTTCTTGTTTACAATGAATAAAAAATTAACTTTTATTTCATAAATGTTCTGTATTTATATGCGCGGCTCAAGATTTAAAAAACTATTGCAACCCAACATTCCCAATCGATTTAGGTCAATGTAGCCGATTGATGCAACGTGCCAGAATTTGATGATCATTTTTCTAATTTAAATTTTTATTATCGATAGATTTTTTGTAAAATTCTTAAAATGGCTGCAACCGAAATCATAAATATCGTACAGGCACAAATCCCCGATATTGATCAACAATTGTCCGACTATATTACCGGTGTATTAACATCTGATACATTTGCTTCAGCAAAAGATATCAAAGAAGCAGTTGGTGAAATTTTCATCTCATGTTTTAATGATGCATTCAATCCGAATCCACCTAAATCACCGGAAAGTTTATGTCAGACTATGTGTGATAAAATATTCAATATAATTCGCGCTAATAATGAACTAGACGATGATGATGATGATGATATTAGACTTAGTCGACCAATACACATTGGTTCAACTGTTGATGATGAAAAAGAAGAAGAATGGAAATCAATATGGACAAGCGGTAAAGAGGTTGAATCGAAAGTTGACCAGAATAAACTTCGAAAAGCCGAAGAGAAGCTTAAACAAAAAGCAGAACGACGAGATGGTGTAGGTCCGACAACTACTGAAAATACAACCATTTCGAATGTACAGGCATCGGCATCACAATCATTGTCCAAAAAATCTAATCGACAAGAAGAATCGGGAACGAATCGAACCAAAGATATTAAAATTGAAAATTTCGACATTTCATTTGGCAGTCATGTGTTATTGCAAGGTGCTAATTTATCATTAAATTATGGTGAACGATATGGGCTTTGTGGCCGTAATGGTATTGGTAAATCTACTCTATTAAAGATGTTATCCACTGCTCAATTGGTCATTCCATCACATATCCGAATACTACATGTAGAACAAGAAGTAGTTGGTGATGATACGACCGCTTTGGATTCGGTTCTCGAATGTGATACTGTTCGAAAAGATCTACTTGAACGTGAAAAAATCTTGTCACAGAAATCATCGCTAACCGATAAAGAAACTGAACAATTGAATGAAATTTATCACGAATTGACCGCTATCGAAGCTGATAAAGCTCCAGCTAAAGCTGCTACCATTCTTCTAGGTTTAGGTTTTACGCATGAAATGCAAAAGAATGCAACTAAAACTTTTTCTGGTGGTTGGAGAATGCGTTTAGCATTGGCAAGAGCTCTGTTTTCAAAACCTGATCTTTTGTTGCTCGATGAACCTACCAACATGTTGGACATGAAAGCCATTATTTGGCTCACCAATTATCTAATTAATCATTGGACTTCAACCTTATTGGTCGTATCACATGATCGAAAATTTCTTTCCGAAGTACCAACACAAATACTTCATTTTCATTCTCGAAAAATTGATTGTTATCAAGGAACATATGAATCATTCATGACAGCTATGACTGAAAAACTTAAAAATCAAGAACGTGAATTCGAATCACAACAGATGTATATCAAACATACACAAGAATTTATTGATCGTTTCCGTTATAATAGCAAAAGAGCGTCATTGGTACAAAGTCGAATTAAAACATTAGACAAATTAAAGATTGTCGACCAGGTTGAAAAAGAATCCATAGTCGTGTTCAAGTTGCCTCAGCCTGAAAGTTTATCGCCACCGATTCTTGAATTAACTGAGGTAAATTTTGCCTATCAGCCTGGCAGTACAATTCTGAAAAATATCAACCTGAATGCCAATCTACAATCACGTATTTGTATCGTGGGTGATAATGGATCGGGTAAGACTACGTTGCTTAAATTATTGATCGGTGATTTGAATCCAACCAGCGGAGTACGACATTCACATCGTAATCTGGCTATCGGTTATTTCACTCAACATCATGTTGATCAATTACCAATGAATCAGAGCCCATTACAATTTATGGCCACTCAACAGCCTGGAAAATCGGCTGAACATTACCGAAAATATCTAGGAGGTTTCGGTATCACTGGTGATCTAGGTTTACAATCACTACAATCCTTATCCGGTGGACAAAAATCTCGTGTAGCTTTCGCAGCCATGACTTTGACAAAGTAAGTTTGTTCCTTTTTTAAAAAATTTTTTCTAATTAAATTTCTCATTTTTATAGTCCTCATTTATTGATAATGGACGAACCAACTAATCATTTGGATGTCGAAACAGTCGAAGCATTAGCTAAAGCTTTGAATGATTTCAGTGGTGGTGTTATACTCGTAACTCATGATCAGAATATGATACAAAAAGTTTGCCAAGAATTATGGCATTGCACTGATGGTACAATCAAATGTCTCAAAGGTGGATTTGAAGAATATAAAGCGATTATTTATAAAGAACTACAAGAACTTGCTTAAATTATTTAAATTGTATCGTTATTTAATTTTAACAACATTAAAAAAATCAATGAAATAATGAATAAAATCAAACATTTAATAATTGTTGGGCCATTTGTTCAAAATATTCTAAATTTTCACTATTGTTTGATATATTAAATTTCTGTTTCTTTGATGATTTTGGTTTACGGAATTTTTTCCGCTTCGTTGTTTGTACTTGCAGTTCACTACTTTCGTTGTTTTCAGAATGATTGTCTGAATCGTAGGTCTTGGAATCTTTGCTACCAAATACTTTATCTGGATCGGGCAAAGCATCAATATATTGCTGAGTGACAATTTGATCCTCATCATCATCCTCATCGTATACGTCTTCGTTGTCAAGATATTCTTCCTCCTCATCATTATCATCATCATCATCATCATCTGATTTTATTGAATTCTTTCTTTTTCGCATTTCTTTCATTTTCAATTTTTTAGCCAAATGCTTTTCTCTAATCAAATCTCGATACAGTTTTTTATCAATAATATCTTCTTCTTTCATGATTTGTTTAGCCAATTCGATATCGATACCAGTTTCCATTTCATCCAATTTTTTCGTTAATTCTGTTGTTTGTTTTCGTAGTTTACCTTCCTGTATAGCATTGCATTCATCATCAAATTTTATCTTTGAATTTAACGGAATATTTTTCTTTAACAATCTTTTTGAAATAGCAGCTTTCGTAAGCATCTTTTTTCTTCTTAAATTATCTATTTCTGTGTGGGCAACATCAGTATTTTGATCTTGAAATTCGTATGTTTTCACTTGATACAAATCATCAAAATCACTGTCACCGTCATCATTCTGTTCGCTCATGGCTATCGCATGATTCGTTGGTTCGATTTCGATATTTTTTACTGAGGGTTGATTCTTCAAACGAGCACTCATTTTACGTTCGATGAAACGAACACGAGGCGCTGTTAACAAGCCAAACGATCGGGCATATCGTTCGACATCAAGCATTTCGTATTGAAATACATTTTTGTCTTTCATCATGAACACTGATTTTAAATAGGCTTTAAATGCACGTTGAGCTGATTCTTTCAAAGATACATGTTTGGCTAATAATGCTTCGGCTTTTCTCTGAATCGATGACAATTTCTGAGGATTTACTTGGATTTTTTCTAATGGTACTTTTTTCTGTTTCAATTGTTCAACCATAGATTGTTCTTCACTTGGTGCCAACACTAATAATGATTCTCCATTTCGTTCAAAACGAGCTGTACGACCAACTCTATGTATATAGGTGTTTGTATCTTCGGGACAGTCTAACTGAACTACCCAATTAACGGCAGGAAAATCTAAACCACGTGCAGCGATATCCGTTGCGAATAAAACAATTCTCGATGATTCACAAAACTTGTCATAGATTGCCATTCGTTTCATCTGATGTAAGGTACCATAAAGTGCAAGCAATGGAATCCCCGGTCGAAGTTGACAGAATAATTCATAGATAAATTTTGCTTGTTTACAAGTGGATATAAATACGATGATTTTGTGTCTGGTGTGTTGTCGAAGAAACGACCATAACATGTTGATTTTATCCTAAATATTAACACACAAATAAATTAGAAGTTATAAATTTTTTAAACAAAAATCTCACCTCAATCGGACAAACAATATAACTTTGAATCAGGCTATCCGGTGTAGCATTTTTTTCATGTTCATGCGAAGAAACATAAACTGGATCTTTAAGGCTTAACCTGGCAAGATCTTTGATCGATTTGGTTTGTGTTGCCGAAAATAATAAAGTTTGTCGTTGTTTTGGTAAATTAGATATAATTGCATTCATTGTTTTAGCAAATCCAAGATCTAAAATTCGATCCGCTTCGTCGAGAATTAAAATTTTCAAATTGTCACAATTAAAAAGAGGATTCTCGTCCATATGTTGAAGTAAACGACCAGGTGTACAAATAATTATATTACATCGATCCATACGTTTACTTTCGAATTTCAAATCTTTACCGCCAATAATTAACCCAGCAGAAAAATCATGTTCGGACCCAATTTTTTTCAATACCTCAAATGTTTGATAGCTTAATTCCCGTGTTGGCGAAATGATCAATGCACCAACACCATCGAACGCTGTCCATTTATTTCGATATAAAAGTTCGAGCATTGGGATTAGGAATGCTAACGTTTTACCCGAACCAGTCTTAGCCGCTCCAAGTACATCATTACCGGTGAGAGCATAACCAATAGATTGTCGTTGAATGTCGGTTGGTGTAATATAGTTGTTTTTTGCTAGTCCACGTTTAGTTGTCATTGAAACAGGCAGATCTTCGAATCGTTCAAATCGAGACCAATCAAATTGATTGATTTCGGTTTTAAGCAATTCGATTTCATCTTTATCATCGTCGGTTTTAGTGCGGTAATTTTTATTTAGTTTTTTTGATTTAATTTTCATGATTATCGCTAAATTGTCGAAATTCAAGCGTGAAAAGAGACCACGCGAGTAGCACACGTGACATGTTTGATGCGTTATTCATAGAAGACAGGACGAATGGTAAATTTAAATTCATGGCGGATTCAATACACCTGTCATTCGTTGTTCAAGTGTTTCGAATTTTTGAATCTTCTGATCGATAAATTTGATAATTAATAAAAACAGTTTAATGATAAAAAAGGTTAAACATGCACAGGTGTTTGTAGGCTACTGTTTTTTTCTGGAAATCAATCGCAAAATGTCAGGTTTGTCAGTTATCTACAAATCTATTAGTCATAATAGCATCGATTGTTCAGGATGAATAATAGCCAAAATCCAATGAATGACGAAGATGATGAAATTTATCTGAGTCAAGAATCTTCATCGGCTGAGCCGAAAAATTCCTTAAAACTTGGTACCAGTTCAGGAACTGGTGGCTTTCAATCAATCGTCAAACGAATACAATTGGCAGCACGAATTTCGCAACAAGGAAATCAACACGGTGATTGCTATGATGAAGATGCTAAATTGAATACATATCTTAAACAAACAAAATTAGCAACACGTCGACGTTCACGACGTTCTGGTTCGATATTTCCGCTTCCTACTCCACTGCCAACACCTTTAACAGGACAATTAAATACCATACAAGAATCACCATTTGAATTTCAACAAACAAGACCATCATTCATTTTAGGTGAAATTCATTTTCTACACAAAGATCATCAATATGATGTAAGTGTTAAATTTGAAAAAATTTGATTTAAAATAGCTCATCTCATTTTTTTTAAAGTTCAAACCATTCGTCGCCCTCGAGCCACATATCACATTGAATGATTTATCACGAATATTATTGGAAGAATGGCAACTTGAAATGCCCAAAATTGTCACCTTAATTGTTACAGGAAAATCACAAAATTCGCGATGGAAAAATGAAAAACAAATCAAAAATTTTCAGATTGGAATAGCAAAAGCGGCCATGTCTACCAATATGTGGATTTTGACTAATGCTGTTAATGGCGGCGTAACATCTTATGTTTGTTCGGCAATCGAAAGAGAATTTCAAAAAGCAAAATTGAAAGGTCGACTTTATCAACAAGTAAATTCTTTTCATTTGATCGGAATCGCTCATGAAAATCATCTGATTTATGGACGAAAACTTTGTTATATCGAAAATGCATTGGTAAGTTTGATGTTTTTTTTAGGGGTTATTTGACATTGTTTTATCTGGTATGCATCGATTTTTTCGATTCATTTAGAATTTATTTAACATTGAAAACACTGGTTTTAATGATGGTCATCGATTTGAATTGAATCCTGATCATACAAATTTTATTGTGTTGAAAAATTTTCTCTACAATAATGATTTTATTATGAAATTGATTGATTTATTCAACATCAAAGATTGTGTTAACAATCATGACCAAAAACAATCGGAACATACAAAATCAGCAAAAAATTCTGATGAAAATAATGCCGACACACCATTTGTTTCGATTTTGATTGATGGAGAACCTGAAAACATACAGCTTGTTTTACAATTAATAAAGAAAAGAATTCCGGTTGTTGTATTACAAGGAAGTGGTGGAATGGCCGATATTGTTTCGTATGCTTATGCTAGAATTTTTGATTCATTTGTTGATTCCATAGACAAAGATTATATTGACAAAAATGTAAAACCATTGTTGGATAAGAAAATCATACAACAATTTAATGAATTAGAAGATGAAAATAAAAACAATGAACGTAATCGAATTTGTCAACAAGTTATTGAATGTGTTTGTCTTACAAAACAACATCGACGACAAGATGGTCGTGAATATTTAATCTTATTGGATACATACAATATTAATCAAGGTAACCTGACAAATCTTCGTGAATATTTATTGAATGCTATATTGAAATCTAAACATCGTAATGTTGATCGTCCATATGGTGAACAATTTTCCAAAGATTTTGATTTGATTGTTGATTGGAATTGTGCTACGGTTGCACGAAATGCTTTATTTTCAATGAATTCAGTCAGTTTAAATGGACTGTTGAAATCAAAATTTTTAGGCATTTTGACTAGGCAAGATCGTGAAGAATTTGTTGAACTATTTTTAGCTAATGGTTTTCAATTACATAAATTTTTGACACCATCAAAATTAAGCCGATTATTTCGTATGATACATGATGATGAATTTTTTCATGCTGTTTGTTGGGAAACGGTTCTAAGTAAATCACCTGTCGATCGACAATCAAAATTTTTTATTGAAACCGATCTAAATTGGTTATTAGAATTTGGTACTGGATTACAAAATTTAGTCAAAATTAGTAAGTGATTTGTAGTAATGTTTGATTCAACAAGTTGATTTTTTTTTAAATATAGATGAACTTCATCTGAATGCTAGCGATTTCATTGAAGATTCATTGGTAGCCGAACGTAAAGCTTTAACATTGTTAACAATGTGGGCAGTGGTACAAAATCGTTATGAATTGGTTGAAATTTTATGGAAATATTGTGATCATCCAATACATTTAGCATTGATTATATCGATGTTTTTCGATAGATTATCTTGGCATGTTTATGATACGAATCTAAAATTTGAACTTGAACAACGATCAAAAACTTTTGCAAAATATGCATACGATGTGCTTGATCGTTGTTATCAGGAAAATATTTCGCTTGCATATAATGTGTTAAGAGAATCAATCAAAGATTTTAATTATATGACGGCTGTAGATATTGCAGCAAATGCTCGATTGAAACAATTTCTTGCTCATCCTTGCTGTCAAAAATGGTTGGCCAATACTTTTCAAGGAAAGATTCGTATACGTGAAATAACATGGGGTTTTTTTACTGTTCCAGTTTCGATCAAAATATTACTATGCAGTCTATTAGTATTTCCAATGTATATTTGGGTTCGTTTCAAAAATGATAAACCAAAAGATGATGATGAAGAATTCAGTGATGATGATGATGAAGAAGAAGAATTAGATGATGTATATGAAAATAATGCAAATAAAGATGGAACATATGAAATGAAACAGATGTCTTATGCTAATGAAGCTTTTGTTAATGATGGCGAAACATCAAAACCATCAAACATGAATCAAAACATTACATCCGATCGGAAAAAGAAACGAGAAGTATTCGTACAAAAACAGCCACCATTATGGAAAATGATAGTTATGATGTGGTCGGCACCGATTAGCAAATTTTATACATCATTATTTTTCTATGTAATATTTCTTATGGTAATTTCATTAGCAGCTTTGTATCCAAATTGTGGTAATATTATTCTCGATTCAATTGTTTGTAGTTGGTCATTGCTTATTGCAATCAGTTATATTCGACATGTTTATATTTTATTCATAAGATATTCATCTGTGGTAACTTTGTATACGAAAATTATCGAAATTCTATTAATTCTAACATTCACTGGATTTTTTTCTACCACCCGTGTTCTACGAATATATTTTTATCCAATTTATTGGCAAAAAATAATGATCGCATTAGCTGTTTTGTACTTTTATTATCGATTAATCTCGGTATATTTACCCATTTCACCAACGCTCGGTCCTTTTCTGTATCGATTTCGATTGATGATCACTGTGGATTTTGTCAACTATATGCGTATCACTACTGTTATATTGATTGCTAATTCTATCGCTATTCGATCATTACAATATCCATATGAAGAATTAACAATTGATTCAATTAAATCGGTATTTCATCAAGGAATAGTTTCATTATTCACTGGACCACCATCAGGCAAAATTTTGGTGACAAATGATCCGAAAAAACAATCAGAATATTGTCCAAATAGTTTCCGTTCATTCGATAATTCTTCTATCATTATTGATTATCAAGATAATCAAGATACATTTATAATATATGTGTTTGTTTTTCAATTTTTCATCATACTAAAATTAATTCTTGGTCCATTATTGTTCTCTATATTTGCTGTAACAGCTTCAAAATGGGTATCAGAAATTGATTCAATTTGGAAATTTCAACGTTATCAATTAGTAATAGATTTTGCTAATCGTTTATCGATACCGGAACCATTTAGTATTGTTTACTATTTATACATTTTATGTTATTATATTGCATATATTCTATGTTGCTGTTGTTATAGTCGAAATTGGTGTAAATTATTCGAACGAATTTATCAACAACGTAAACGAAAAAAATTCACTGAAAATGAAAACATAATTTCACCGGAAGATTGTCTTTATTGGAAATTACTTGCTGGTGAATATATTGTTGATCAACAGAGACAATTATCAAGAATAAATGAAAATGATGAATTAAATCATCGTCAATGGGATTGTATACGTGATATAACCGAAGAAATTGAATATGAAAAAAAATTATTACGTGAAATTAAAAGTAAATTATTTGAAATGGAAAAATTTATATTTCAACATTCGAAAAATGAAAATATAGTAACAAAAAATATTGATGGCAATGACATTGGTAGTAATCAACATCTTAATGTTGTTATTGATGATGATGATCATGGAAACAAGGAAATGAAATCATTACCATCATCACAGCCACCATCATCACCGGAGATAATCATTGAATGTTTATAATAATAAATGATCATGATTTAAGATAAGGTAGGTAATGTTGTTGTTATTTATTTGAATTTCTTTCTGTTTTCATTTAAAAAAAAAATTTCCTTTATTCATAAAGAGTTTAATATTTGAAATTAGTTCAAAACGTCATATGATGATACTGATTCGGGGCAAGCTATATTTTCATTTTTTTTTTTTGTGTGTATGTTGTTTGTGACTTTATTATGTTATTTGTGCTATGTTTTTTTGTTATCTATATTTTTGAAAATATTATTGCTCCAATTTTATATTTATTCACTTGTTGATTTCAGCTAATTTTGTTTTTACCTGTGAATTTGTCATAGTGAACTTGATATTTTATAGGTGAATTTCTGCTTCGTAAAATATTCACCTCATTTTTTTGTTGTTGTTGTTACTATTTATCGATTCAATTTCATTTCCATTATTTTAATTCTTATTTTTTTTCATTTTTTTAACCCGATACATTTATATAGGATCACATTGGCTAAAATTTCGAAATTGTCGATCGATCGATTGATTGACAATTAAATCGGATACATGATATCTACTTTCCTTTCGTTAATCTGACCAGTTTTTTCATTATCATTGTTGCACACATGTTCGATATGTTTTTATAAGATAATTTTTTTATCAATCCCCGAATGTACATCTGTGTTTGACAAATATAGATATTCGATACATTTAGTTTTGTCGAATGATAAAACAAACATAGCGATAAATTTTTCTAATAAAAGAAAAACCTATATCCATTCGAAAATATACATATTTTTTTCTCTCTTTTTTTTCACAGATGAATTGATCAACAATTAATTAAAAATTTTTTCTCTGTCCGTAAATGTTTTTTTTAATATTAAATAATCCATATACAGATTTCACTGTCACTATGTCATTATGTCATCAACAATTTAATCGGTAGAATAATAAGATGACCGATCAATAAATGAAGATCATTATCATAATGATCGAAGAAGATCATCATCATCATCATATAGATGATCATTTGGTCGTATAGTTGGGCCACAATGTCATCAGTACGTTGTGTTTTCTTTTTAAAAACGTTTTTCATTCACATTTAATTTTTACTCTTTAAGAGAATGGGAAAAAAATGAGACTAAATGAATACGCGCAACAAGTTGTTTAGGATTTTTGTTTTCTCATTATGATTTTAGCTTTATTGTGTTTCATTTTTTGTTTTCGCATTTTATTTTGATTTGTGATTTTACCACTAAACAAAACAGAAAAAAAACCAAGTTCAATTTTGCCTATTTATGATTTTTTGATTAAAACGTAAAAAAAATCCGTTAAATATATCAATGGATGAGAATGACATTAATAGAAAATTCATTGTTTATTTGGGTCTTTTTAGTTCGTTTGTTCGTTCATTGACGTTTGATGAAAAAAAATTTTTTTTTCACGATTCATTTGCATGATGATCGTTTTTTTTCGTCGTTGTTTACCACGTTTATTTTAAATTTTTCTACAACAACAACAACAAAAAAAAGTTCAAGATCAATCCATTTCACAATCATTTATAGGTTTTTGATCCAGTTTTTGTTTTTATTTGGCAGCAAATCAATCAATCAATATCAATATCGATATCAAAATTAAAGAAAAAATCCATCGTTGATCATTTTATATTATAAATATTTTTATTTACTTTCTTTTTTTTATTCAATTTATATCCGATCAATATTACAGTTTGGAGGAAGAACAAAAAAAAAACCTTTTTTTTCAAACATCTTTTTTGATTGAAAATAAAATCCAATTATGATAGTGATTTTTTTTGCTTTGTTTTGTTTTGAAAAAAAAGAATTTACCGAAACTTATCAGTTCACAATTGAATCAATTAATTAATTAATTAATTAAAATAATTAAAAATTACAAATAATAATAATAATAATAATGAAAATGAATGAAAACAGAAAAAAAATCGAATGATGAATGAAAATAAATGACGACGAAGAGATAATGAATGAATGAATGAAAAAAACAAGCGAACGAAACAACAACAAAACAAAAAAATGAAGGCAACGGTTTTTTATAATAATCGGTTGGTTTTTGTTTTTTTTTGTTCCGGATAATCATAATAAATAAAAAGAGAATAGAATAGGAATTTAACTTTTACATGTAAATGTTGTTTGTGTGTGTGTGTGTGTGTATGTGTGTAATAAATGAATTGAGATGAAATTGGTATAAATGGTAGGTAAAATTTAGAATACGATTCTATCCAAAAAAAAATTACAGCTATTTAGTGTGTGTTGTTTGATACTTTTCCTTCATTGATATAAAGTATGTTATAGACGTGAGTTATTTTTATTTCATTTTATAAAAAAAAAATTTGTTAACTTTTGTAAAATTACAAGAATTTTTTCATACATTCATTTATATGGGATAAAAACAAAAAAGATTTCGATTTAGTTAATTAATTTGTTTCCAGATTTATTTATTTATTTATTTTTCAATTAAATTAATATCGGGTTTTAAAACCGTTTTAATTTTCAATTGGAAAATAAGATTGTTTGGATATTGTGATTTATTTTTTTAAAATTTGATTATGGACAAAAACAAATATAATTTTAATCAATATGTTTTTTTGTTGATCGAACATTATTACTATTGCCAATGTTTGAATGGCTATTGTTTGTAATGATACTGTTATTATTGGCTGTTCGTAATGATTTACGTAGACCAATCAATGGAAATCTGGAACAATATGAAAATACAAAGAACTTGATAAATAATAGGAAAAAAAGAAAATAAATGAAAAGGCCACATAGTGAAGCAGATATTGAGGTATCACATGATCGTCCCGATTGTTTAATTAAATAGGCTTTTAGATTGATGTATAGGCCGAATATCATTTGGGTAATCTGCGATATTGTTATTGTCATTGCGATTAAACGTGAAATACGAAAACGCATCGATTTTAATGTATAATATGTATACATGGCCGTATGTATAGTGAAATTCATTGAAACCATCCAACGTGCCGTACCAGGTGCTTCACCAATAACAAAAAATGCATATGACAACGTTAATACATGATGGATCCAATGTAAAAATAATAAATTCTGTTTACGTAATATGATGAATATAGTATCACCTAATTCAATTACTTTTGACCAAACAAATAGCCAATACCAAAGTGTTATTCGTACATCACGATAATATGAACTTGAACAAAATGATTGATCCATTCCTTCCTGGGTAATAATGTGTATAAATTCCGGAAGACAACGGATTGTGCCACACAATGAAAACAATGCAATTGATAAATTCCATAAGGCCATAGGCAAACGCAGACTATATGGTTGCCTATTTCTCATTAACCAACGGCCAATAAATATGACCATTATGTATATAATGCTTACATATATCGCTATATACCAATGATCATACATCCATTGTCGTTGATAATCACGATTGAAATTTGATTCAAATTCAAAGGCAAATGGAAGCCCTGGATATTCTGACCATTCTGATGATATTGGTCTGCCAAATTTTAGATATATTTCATGTGTTATATTTATCGTATTCGCCACTTTTTCATTATTCAATGATGACATTGTTGGTGTTATTCTAGCGGCGGCAGCGGCATCAGCCACATTTTCATCATTCATCATGTTCGATTATAGATCGATGAAATTTAATTCAAAATTTTTTAATGGACGGCGTCTAAATTTTTTTTTTAATACAATATTTTCGATTAATAAACAATATTTAAAAAACAAAAATTGTCCATTAAAACAAACAAGATGAGCAAAAATTTATTAATATAATTAAAAACATATGATGAAGATGATGATAATGTATCTTGACTTTGATTTTCACTGAAGAAAAAATTTAAAACAAAAACAAACAAATAAAATGAAGAAACAACAATGTTTTGACTGATTTGATTGACCCGATTTAAATGAGAATTGACTGAATATATTTTGTGTGTGTGTTTTTTGTTCGATTTGAGATAAATAAATATGCAGTGTGTTTGAATGAATGAATGAATGAATTTCTTTTATTTTATTTTTATGGAATAGCTCTTCTTCTGATAGAATCCTATTGTAGTCGAATCAAACGGTGGTGATATTAATATGGCACAAATACATTTTGTTCACATACACACACAAACAGACAGACACAAATTGTGAAAAAATAAAAAATAAAAACGGAATTGGGGGCGTTTATTAATTAATATTATATGTGACTGACGATATTTCCGTACAACTATTTTGTTGATATAAAAGATATATGATGATGATGATGATGATGATGATAAAATTTTGCGTCGGCGTCGTTTTTTTTGTCATACGGAGAACGGCGTGGTTTCGGGGTTTATGGTTGGTGGTTTAAACTTTCTTCCTTTTTTTTGTGTTGTTTGTTCAAGCAGAATTTTTTTTTTGAATAATTTTTCAGTAAATGTTGCTGGATTTGATGATAATGAGGTTGTTGGTGATGATGATGAACATGGGGTTATGTGTATGAGTCAATGTTTTTAAATTGTATGTATATGACTAATATATTTCACAAACGGATTTTAGCCGTTCGTTTTCTCAACCGTTGTTTTTTTTTCTGTTGTTTTAAAAAATATCTATGTTATTTTTTTTCGAATTATTTAATAGAGAACACACGTTTACACCATACATACATACACAAACACAAATATATATAGGAAATATATCGAGATCGGCTCTAGAACGTGCTTTTTTATCTCCCTGTGTAGATTTTGTTTGGAAATGAAATGAAATGTTATTTTTTTTCAATTCATTTTCAGTATTTTTTCTGATGAGACACAAAAATCACATAGCATTATAACAAACCAAAAAAAAAAAAAAAATTAATAGAAACATATATTGGGGGAAAAAAGAAATAATCATTGAGAGAA